ACCTTGTTGAACCAATGCCACGTAGAATTAAGGCAGTTCTGAAGGCGAAAGGGGGTCAAACACCGTATTAGTATGGTGTTCCTAATAATCCTTTAGGTGAGTGTACATTAATAGCAAACATTACATGATTATACAATTATAATGTTTGTTATTATTATATATAATGTTTGCTATTAATATATATTAAAGGGATTTAAGGATGTAAAGTCATACAGTACATGCATGATGTTTATGAATGATTTTTGAATACTTAATTAATACATTGTGAAGGTGTACTGAACATTTTATGAATGCAATATAAAAGCATTGTGAAGGTGCAGTTAATGTAATGCACTACTGTTTATTTATTTGAAGATTTTTTTTATTTTGATTAGGGATTTTTAAAAACAGTACTTTATTCAATTTCAGTTGCACTGTTAAGAAGACACATTTTGCACAGTTTTGAAAGAAAAAGGAATATTTTTGAATAAATTTGTCTGCAGCTCATTCTGTTAAAAAATCGTGAGAAAATCGTATCGTGAACTCAGAATTGTGAATCGTATCGAATCATGAGTAGAGTGTATCGTTACATCCTTACAGGATATCATCTCTTTTTGCCATCCACTGGTGTAATGATGTACGTACAGACATCAGCATGTCAAATATAATTAATATAAAATATAATATACACTCATCGAATGTTTTATAAGGAATGTTCAAATGCTGCTATCAGAACGGCCTGAGATCCTTGTATTAAGGACTCTTCCAAGTGCTAGAAATATTAGCGATTCTGATCCAGGTTGGCATGATTTCATCACATATTTGCTGCAGATTTGTTGGCTGCATATTCATACTGAATCACCTATTCCACCACATCCCAAAGGTGCTCTACTGGATCACTGATAAGGTGACTGAAGAACACTGAGCTCACCATTCTATTCAGTGAACCAGTATGACTTGTGCTTTGTCATATGGCACATTACCCTGCTGGAAACTAAAAGATGGATAAATTGTGGCCATCAATGAATACTAATGGCGGGGGGCAGACTGGCAACAAAAGGCAGCCTGGGGATTTGCTGCCAAGTGGCCCCAATTTGATAATTTGCTGCTGAACAGGGTGGGAGGGGGTTTCAGTGCCAAAATGTACCTTAGGATACCCCTTTCCCCCCAGTCGGCAGCAAATTATTAAACTGGGGCCGGTTGAATTGTGCCGTTTAGCTGACGACCAAGAAATTTCCCCAAACTTCCTGCTGGCCAGTCCGTGCCTGATACATGGTCATCAACCATACTCAACCATACTCAACTATACTAGACTAGGCTGGAGCATTTAAATGAAGCTTGATTGATAGTGGGAGTCCAGTGTGTGCCAAGAAAGCATTACTCACATCATTAGACCACCACCACCAGATTGAACTGTTTAGACAAGCCAGTTTGGGTATGTGGTATCAGGAATGCTTTACTGGATTCTTATACTCGCACATCAATAGAACACAACAGGAATCATGCAATCATGCTGTCCGTGCCCAACTCTGTCCCAACCATCTGAACGCCGCAGCAGAAATCGAGACTCCTCACAGGCGATGTTTTTTCCAATCATTAATTGTCCGGTATCGGTGAGTCTGTGCCCACTGTAGCCTCAGTTTCCTGTCCTGAGTTGACAGGAGTGAAATTCGACGTGATCTTCTGCCCCTCGACGTGTTTTGGTTGTTTGTTTGTTCAGAGATGCGTTTCTCCTCACAGCTGTTGTAAAGAGTGGTTATTTGAATTAGGCTAATGCAATTTTCCTGTGAGCTTGAACTAACTGAAGCTCTTGACCAGTATTTGCATGATTTAATGCACAGAATTGCTTCCGCATGATTGGATGATTAGATATTTGCATGAAGGAGCAGACGTAGGAGTGACTGTAATAAAACTGACTGTATAAGGGCACACAAAACATATAGACAGATATAAGAAATATATAATATGTTGAATGATATACTGTCTAGTAGGGGTGGAGCCGAACCCGAATACGGTATTCGGAAAGGCACAAATAATGTGTTTTTTACGAATACTTATTTCGAACAAATACTTTAAAAAATATTTGTATTCGGGAACAAGAAAAACTTTATATTAAAAAGCTGCGTTTCCTCTTGAGACCGCAGTGCATGCCCGGATGAGTGACTGAGTTCAGGAGTCGGGGGGTGGGGGGCGTAAAAGAGGTGGCTGACACAGGCTGCTCCACACAGCAACAGAGAAGACTCGGCTG